CAAACCTCTTGTCTCAAATATACTAGACATTTTCAGAGTACCATTAAAATATTTATTTACCTAGTACTGTCAAAAACATGTCAAAGGACTAAATTATACTAAAATATTCATCTGTTTTTTCTTTCTTCTTTTGCATTGCATGCCAAAGATTCACTGAGCCACGTGCATTACCCAAGTACAAAATCACTTAGAGAAATGGTAGAGACCATCTACTACTCTCAAGAATGCCTGGACTTCATTGAGACCTTAGTAGGAATGGTACAAATAAACAATTAACGGGACTCTCCTGGATATTGATTTGGGAGCAGGGCATCAAATGGTGACCCAAGCACAGCACTTCCCTGCTGTTCATTAAAGCATCCTGACTTTTAAAGCTTGAAAAAAGTCGCTACTCCTTCAAGAAATTAACTTATTAATATTTAGGTGGCATTCAAAGCACCGCTGTCTATATTCAGACAGGTGAAGATGCCTAAAAAATTAGCAGCTTTCATGAAGAACAGGTAAATGCTATTAAAAGCCAAAAGAGTCCCCTATGAAAACTTCCTACATACCTGTCATGCCCATGGTGGAGATTGATTCTGAGGGAGAGAAAGAACAGCTGACAGGGAGTGGAGATCTAGCTCTGGAAGATTGTGGAGGAGGCTGGGGAAGGGCAGAGGCCAGCTGGGTAATCAGAGGAGGACCTAGGCCCATCCCCTCTCCATCCTAGGGCACGCAGGGAGGAGAGGATAAGGGAAAGACATGAATGGCGTGCTCTGCGGGGAGTAAAGGGCCTAGATCAGGGCTCTCCAACCTTGGTAACTTTAAGCCTGGAGGACTTCAACTCCAAGAATTCCCCAGCCAGCTGGGGAATTCTGGGAGTTGAAGTCCTCCAGGCTTAATGTTACCAAGGTTGGAGAGTCCTGGCCTAGATCCTCTTCATGGGCTGCAGCTGTGACAACTGGATAAGAGGACAGACACACGTACGGGCGAGTGCTGGAAACAAAGCATGGAAATATCTCTAGTTTACTGTTCCTCTCTGGGTTTGGCATCCTTCCCAGTGTATGTTCTGATATCTGTGGGTATTTTCAAGCCCTTATCTTGCCTGGTTTGTGTTATTTTTTACTCTTTATAATTTAAATGGCATTTCCTCCTTCTTGTAACTGCTTGTGTGGGATTTTTTTGTCTCCAGTCAAGGATATTTAGAGCTTGGAAGCAAAGGGAAGGAATAAAAGGGACTTCACCTGTTTTTTGTGACTATGCTTATTTTGTATCCCACCCGGGGTCATCACTATACCCATCATGCTAGTAGGAATATTCGTTTTGCTCCTTGATCATCATGAAATAACACTAGATGATTAAAAATTGACAGCTTTCCCAGTATGAACAGTCTAACTTGCAAAGTCTGGAAAAATAACTCACATTTTAAATGGCTAACAAACTATAGGATCACAATGCCACTAAAATATAAAGATTAAGACTGTAGAAACAATGGTGTAATGTACCACAGCATAAAACTGTGTCACATTTATAACACTTTGGAAAAAGTAGCTAAAGATCAGAATCAGTAACACAAAGATAGGAAATTTACTCTATAGCCACTTGTCTGGAATGACTTATTTAAAAAGACAGCCACATCTGAAATGATATAGGCTGGGTGGGCTCACTGTGTGAGCAGTGGGTTGGACTAGAAGACCTTCAAGATCCCTTCCAGCTGTGTTATTCTGTTCTATCCACATTTAAAATAATCCACATGCACAGGACCCCCATTAACTGTGTGGCAGCCTACATGTGGCTTCCCCACTTCTTATGAAGACTAACTCCATGGGACAGTTCCAAGGCTGAGAAGTCAGGCAATGATTTTATAATACAGCCTCCTGAAAGTTTCTTCATTATCAGTAAAAGGACCTATTACCATCAGCTTTAGTCAAATACTGAGAATGGGACAGTCTGCAGAATGAGACACTTCTTGGAGAAAACGCATGAAGCAAATAAAATTGGGGTTGCACCCTTTTCTTCCCTGTCTTTTAAACTCAGTCCTTTCAGACCCAAAGTTGACCTTCCCTGACCCCAGATAAAAACCTCTTCAATCCCATCTTAACCAAGGATGAGAAACCTTGCTTACCTGCCCACAGTATAACTCAGGGGCAGCCTTAACCAGGGAACTGTGCAACAGAGAAAAATCTAACATTCCATCCTGAATGTGGGAGACACTTAACATTCTATCTTAACATGGACTTCTCCAGCCCCAGTGCCACTCCTGAAAGGGCAGTTTTGCCTAGCAATAGATATGACTTCAGATACACGAAGAAGGGATATATTTAGGATATATTACATCATTTCCCTTGGTGTTGCAGTTGAGTTTGAAGCATGAGCCCCTGATGGACATTAGATCATCCGTGTAGAAATTCCGATATACTCTTGTGCGGGCTCCATCTTCAGTTATTAAATTCATTTATTGATTTATCCATCCATCTGTATGTCACCTCAATCACTGAGTTAACCCTTACAATACATGCTAAGATCACAAAACCATCATAACATTAATTAAAATGACAAAAATCAGATAACAAAACATAACCATGCATTGAGGAAGATAACCTGAAACATTTCTGCCCAATTTCTATCAGTACAGGTAATTTCTATTAGTACACTCTTCTCAGTCTTCTCAAACCATAAGCAAAACTCTCCTTTTGGATACAGATTGGCCTTTAGGTCATCTCATTATACAGTGTTTTGATTTATTTACTTTTTGACTAACTTAACGGGCTTGAACTCTCTAGTTCAAGAAGACTCTGAGCGGTTTGCATTCCCTTCTTGCAACCAAAGGGATGAAATGCAAGAGCAATGTCATAAAATAACAGAACTGCAGTAAGATACAAAAAGAACAAGTTACTAAAAATGGGAATAAAGGCACAGGAAGAAGAAACATCTCAGCCCAGCCCAGTGTGTGGAATATTCACTTTGGATTAGTTTCTGGATTCTGGGCTGAATAGCCTTGAGCCTCTCTGCATGTCTTTATACAGGATAAGGTAACCTATATGATTTTATTCACTTGCAAAATGGATAAGGCCATGGAGGGCTTTTTATCCTCACCAGAGCTGCTATTCTTGAACTTATATTTTAGGCTGTGAAGATGGGAGAAACAAGCTTTCATTATGAAGCATTATATTCCTTAGGGCCAGTTGTGGGATTCAATGTTTTTTTACTAACGGTTCTGTGGGCGTGGCTTGGTGGGTGTGGCAGGGGAAAGATACTGTAAAATCTCCAGTCACAGGTGGTATTTGCCGGTTGTCCGAACTACTCAAAATTTCCGCTCTCGGTTCTCCAGAACTGGTCAGAACCTGCTGAAGACCACCTCTGCTTGGGACCAACCTTGTTTACATATGCTGGTGTTGGGAGGGCTGATTCTAAGGAAAGGCTGGCAGATGCCAGGAGCCACAGAAGCTAGAGGGTGTTGGAGAAAAGAGGTAGGTGTTTGGGTGTTACCCAGCTGATTCAGTGTGGCTCCTGGACATTGGTTGTTATTTGTTTCCCCCTAAGGTCTAAGGAGAAGAGAACAATGACTGGTTATCTTTCATGGTTTTGAGGAGGAACCTGCTTTCAGTCTGCCTGCAAAGGAAAATGTCCTTCTTGGCTCAGTCAAGATGTGGAGGACAATGCTTATAGAAGAGTGATAGGCTAGTTGTGCATTCCAGAAGTGCTGGGAACTGAGGTAGGGTGCTACCCCCACCACCGGGAGAGCCCAACAGGAGAAGGGTAAACTCTGCTCCCAAGGGAAGCCTTTTTTGAGCATGTGGGTCCAAATAACCCACCCTCCTGTTACTTGTTTATCCCAACTCTTACTTGCTCTGGGGCTGGTTATTATCTCCGTAGATACTATCTCGTTAGATAATTAGGGGGGGGGGCTGTCTTATGCCCTGCTTTGCATCCTCTAGTGTTGTCTATTTCTTCAGATAAAATGAAGAGTGGCTGAAGGGTTGTAGAGACCATGATCTAAAACTTGGGGGAAGACCCAAGCAGCCAAATATCTTGATGTGTTCCTGGGTCAGATTTAAACATTATGTTGGTTTCTGTGTTTCTACTTCAACTTAGAATAAGAGATTATTTTACTATATATTCGTATCTGAACTAAAGAATGTTGGGATTTTTTTTCCCCTTGTTACTTTGTGACTTTTTTTTCCTTTCTCCCGATTTTTCCTTTTCTGTTACTTTATATTTTATCTCTCTTTGAAGTGTAATAGAGCTGATCAATGGGAATAGTCAAGGATTATGGTAGATGTAAGTTGGATAGCCCTCATCCTGGCATTTTCTCCCTGGCACTGAGGAGAGGATGTTAGTTGAGCCCAGTATGTATTTTTTAATTATGTGTCAACGCAAATATTATTTTAGGGCTTGGTTGCACCGTATTGTATTGCATTTATTTTGATGTTGCTCTTTTTGTGTGTGTCTTTATGTACTGTTAGGCACCCAGAGTCACCAGGCTGAGATCGGCAATAAAATGATTGACAGCTATGAAAAACAACTGATGGTGAAAGTGGGAGTGGGTGTTGTTATTTTTCTTTTTCCACCCTTTTTTTCTTTCCTTACCCAAGGGGAGGGAGCAGATCATTCTTGTTAAAAATCTGCATCAGTCGTTTGCAGGAGAATATTCTGAAATTAAGTAAGAGAGTTCCTTGCAGCTCAAAGAACCATAGTTTGTTTGAGTCCATTGCGAATGAAGGTAAACATACATGTCCCAGGATAATGTTGCAGGATCCAATCTGAATCAGTTACTGAGACCAAAGGTTTATTCTTCCACACTTTTGGACCCCACCATCAGGGAACTTGTCTCTCTCCAGAATATGTGCACTGGGCTGGTCTACACTTTGTATTAATGTGGTTCCTGCTTGTGTGTAGCTTTAAGTTGTTCAGTGTGTAGCTTGAAGTTTGTCCATTACTGGGTATCAGCCAAGCAGCCTGGGAGGCTGAATTTGACTCTTCCCCTTGGCATGAAAGCCAGTTGAGTGACTTGGAGCCATTTTATCTCAGCCTGACTCATTTTGGAGAGTTGCTGTGGATAAAATAGGAGCCGGGAGCATATGGTATGCTGCCTTGAATTTTACAAATCAAAGGTGGGATATAAATCTAATACTTTTTTTAAAAAAAAAAGTGAAGTGGATATTCCATGGTGAAGATAAGGTGAGGACATCAGTGTAACATGTTGTGTACATAGTTGTTACTTTTCTTAATAGGAAGTGAGACTTCTTAAGGAAGTGAGACTTACCAACACACCTTGAAGTTCTTGCTCAGGTAAGTTTCACTCTTGCTTTGATTCCAGCCTGTCATGCATCTGAGCCAAGACAAGCAGGAACATAAACAAGAGAGTTGGAAGGGACCTTGGAGATCATCTAGTCCAACCCCCTGCTTGAGCAGGAGAGTCTATCCAAATATTAGAGACAACCTGCTTACAGTTCCAAAGATTTCTGTACACAGCATGGGGAAAAAAAAAAAGAAAGATCTTCAAAGCTACGTTTCTCTTTCAGATCCACACTGCAGCACAGCCTGAGAGACAGGACAGTACCTGGGAGATGCACCTTACACTACACTGCACAGTGTCTCTCCACTGCACAGATCTTTCTCCAGTGCGTAGCCCTTCAAACATACCACATAGATTTGAGGAGTCATCAGTCAATTTTGCCTTCAAGTCAGTGAAACTCTCCCATCACTGGAAGATTTTCTCTCTCCTCTGAAGGATGTTGCATTATTGAAAGCCACTGTTCTGGGTAGGGCTGCAGCACCAGATGCAAAATTGAAATAGTCACTGCAGTGCTGAAGATCTGAGGGTCTTATTCCCTTCCTGGCCCCTTTGCTTCTATCCTCAAAGCCCATTTCTTTTGTTCTCTCAAGAGAAACCATCCACTTACTCTTTCGACAATGTTTCTGCAGAAATGGTCGGCACTTCTTTATTTCACTTTCTATTTAAGGGGACCTGTGAGCTTTTTCCTTCTCCAAGGTAAGTTCTTTTTATTTTATTTTTCTCCGTCTTTCCGGCAGTCTTCCCTCCCCACCCATCCACTCACCCTTTTCTGGTGACACTTTTGTAATTTAGTTTCAGCCCTTTTAACCCCATTGCATCTTGGAAAGAAACCATTTCTATGTGTTTTTCTATCTGAAACCTTGTTAAGTAGGACGACCCACATATTGTTAAGGCTCTTTTGTTACCAAGGGGGTTAAAAATACTTGAATTTCATCCTGGAAAAAGCGTACGTGGGCTTTCCTAGCTCTGCTGAAATTCAAATGAAGAAAGCATTATGTTTACTGTAATAAAGTATAAATTATGAACTATTTCAGGATAAGTCGTATTATACTGGGAGGCAGTGTTAGTCTGCTGGCTTCTATTTCTACCCTGCATGTCGACTTGAAGAATGATCTGTTTGGACAGTGGCTGACTCGGGAATAAATCCAATGGAATTCAGTGCAATTTACTTCTGAGTCAGCTAGTGAAACATCTGGCTGAAAATGCCACTTTGTGAATGATTACAATGAGTGGAGAAAGTTAAGCATGAGGATTAAGCGACATGCACACCAAAATGTTTCAGTTTGATCCCGAAGCCTTGGCAGTCTTGATAAGCAAAACATGACAGCTGTCCATTTCTTTTTCTTTTCTTTAGATCTTATGAAAAAAATTCACAGCCCCTTCTCTCAACTACGGTAGCCAACATTTTACTTGCCCGTGTCTTTAAAAAGTCAGTCCACAATATTCTAAGCAGGAAAGGTTTCTGTTTTGGGGGTGGTAATTAATGGAGTGGTGTGGGGGGGGGATGCCTGTCAAATTAGGCAACTTTTAAAAATGTGTGTGCAAGCTGGATGTAAGCAATATGGCAACACTGCTTATGCCCATGCTTACAGTCAGTCACTTGTCCAGCCGTTGGTCCAGAACAACACGGGGGAACTTTTGGTTTTAGTACTTCTTGTCAAGAATGGTCGGTGGAGAGATAGAGGAAAATTCTTCCCTGTCTTTGTATTTTTAACAAGAAAGTAAAATACAGAAGTGATCAGATGAAGTGCTTAATGGGACAACTGTTGCTTGTTGTACCCTGTGGATCAAGAGTACAACAAGTATCACTGTCATGAGAGTGCTAAGCAAGTTCCTTGCCTCCCTTTAATGCAGAAGTCTCCAAACTTGGCAACTTTAAGACTTGTGGACTTCAACTTGAGCTGAAGTCCACAAAGCTTAAAGCTGTCAAGCTTGGGAACACCTGCTTTAATGCAAACATGGAACTGAGAGCAATCTCCCTAAATTGGGGAGAGTTTGCGCAGCTATACCTGATGCTGCTGTGTCTCAGCAGGTAGGCCAGAGTTCCTTTCCCTTGGGAACTTTAAGACTTCAACTCCCAGAATTCCTTCGCCAGCTAACTTTTCCAAACGTAACCCAGGGAATTCCCTTGTGTGACATGGCCAAAGTAAGCGAGATGCAGTTTTGTGATTTTTGTCTTCTAGTGACATGATTGATGTTAACGCTCCGCTCCAGTACTTGCTTGTTGGTCCAAGGCAGGGCTGTCAAACTCACGCCCCACTGGCTGGATGCATCATGCTCTGGCCACGCCCATGCCCTGTTTAGTGAAGGGGGGAAAGTCACGATACGTCATGTGACCACACAAGTTTGACACCCCTGATCCAAGGAATGTGCAGGTGTCTATTCTAACACCAAAGCTCAAATGAGTTGATTTTCTTCCTGTCTTACTTTTTTAAGGTCCAACTTTCACAACCATAGGCTACACTAATAGACTCTTACAAATCTGGTAGTATGTTTCTCCCCAGATTGCCTTCTTTCTCGAAACCTAAGAAACAAAGGAAGGTCCCTTCTGAGTTGTTTGCCATACCCATATTCCTTTTCTGGGCTACACTGCCTCCTATCCCTGCTTGTGACTCTCCCATTATCTCCCAAGGTCATTCCCAGATACCAAGACATCTTGTTAAATCAATACCTATCTGCCTTCATATTCTACTTATAAGATAGGCAGCACCCAGCTACCAATCAAGGTTCTGTAAGATGCCCAGAAACAAACCAGGTCAGTCATTTCAAGAGCCTGTCAGACCAGAAGTGAAACTGTAAGTGCTGAAGTATTCCAGGATTCAGCAGTGCCCTCCTAGCCTCACACCAAAAACGGCATACAAATAGATCCTGATTTCTCTGCGTAGGCATGACCTCAGTGAATATATCTGATGATTTTCTTAGCTACCATTTTTAGATTGGAAAGGAGTAAGTCAATTTGGCTAAAGCAGAAGATAATGACATGCTGGGATTTCCAGCTTATGTTGTCCTACTTTTTCAAGCACTGCCTTAGCGCATGTATTTCTAAGAAAGCCAATTTAGTGGGGAAGGAAAATGAGCAGCGAACATGCCATCTATCTAAAGCAATATGCAATGAGTAACTAGTGTAGTTACAGTGTATAGTTATAATGTAATAGTTATAGTTCTTACAAGATCGTTCCCCTGCAATATCCCCATTTGGAATCATCCATACTTTCTTCTAGCATGCTTCATTCCGTTCCCCTTGGCTGATGCTTTCTCCCAAAAGTCACTCAAAGCCGTCTCCTCCCCAGTAGACCACATCTCTCCCTGATCCTCTCCTCCCTGCATGCCTTACGGTGGATAGGGGATGGGCCTGGGTCCTCCTCTGTCTGCTCAGCCAGCCTCTGCCCTTCCCCAGCCTCCTCCACGACCTCTGGAGCCACACTTCCACTCTCTGTCAGCTGTTCCTCCTCTTCCTCATAGTCAGTCTCCACCAGGGGCATGACAAGATGCTCTCCAGAGACTTTTTACTCCCCTCAGCAGTCACTAATGGCAATGGATTTGGGGAGTATAGATGGGTGCAACATGCCAAATGGATTGGACACTAACTCTCTGAATAGACAGTCACTTATTTGCAGATGCTTGTCATTGGTGTATGTTTGTGTTTTTCATTTAGCCAACATGTAAGTCTTTGTCATGCTGTTTTTTTCAATCTGCAATCCATATTTGTGATATGAATCCATGATGAATTTTATTCCCATTTCTTTAGCATGGGAATTGCCTGATGTATACTGTATTGTTGTTGTAGTAGTAGTTGTAGTAGTACCCTGTTTCTCCAACAATACGGCCTCCCCCAATAGGAAGTCCCAGCATGTTTTATAGGCATGAAATGAAATTAAGCCCCTCCCCCCCAAATTAAGGCCTATATTAAAACATGCGAAATGGGGGGGGGGAATGGTGAGGGGGGGCTTGCCATTAGGAAGTACTTTTGTTGCACACCCAGATATGGTGCTGCCTGCGTTGACCCTGATACAAAGTGCCCCACCAATGCCGAGGTCAACATCCAAGCCGTCGTTGCCTGCCCGCCTAGAGATGCAATGGGGTGGGAATTAAGTCACCCCTGAAAAGACAGCCTAGCCATTTTTTCGGGGCTCAAAAAAAATAAGACCCGGCCTTATTATATGAGAAACATGGTAGTTCATCGTATAGTAAACTGGATGTTTAGATTGGTCTTGGCATTTTTATCTACCTATGGAGTCCTTTCCAAGGATCTGAGATAGGCAGATGTTCTTGTTTGATGATGTAAAGAAGTTGTCTCAGGATATACTCAACTTCCAAGTAAATTGATGGGGACTTTGTCAATGCCAGTTATTATTTGCTTCAAATTAAGTTGTTGATCCAACGGGCATTAATTTAGTAAACCGCATGCAATAGTATCGTACACTCACAAACAGCTGAACAATGGGGATTTCTGTAATCTAAATCAACTTTCTCCATTCTATGTCCTTCAGGTATTTTGGACCAAATTCCATTATCCCAGCCAGCGTATCCACAGCTAGCGTCCTTACCTCACTTTGAAGGACCTTATTATTCTTATTTCCTTTTCCTACACAGGATGCTTGGCAAGTAAATCAGAAGAAAGGCTTTTTCGCAAACTGTTCTCCCATTACAACCAGTACATCAGACCTGTAGAAAATGTGTCCAGTCCCGTGAAGGTGCATTTCGAAGTGGCAATTACCCAGCTTGCAAATGTGGTATGTTTGCAGGGTTTGCACAATCTTGCATTTCAGTCATTGACAAAGAGACCTTTCATCTGGTGGCCCTGATGTAGGCATGGGCCCTTCAGGGGGTAATGATAGTATTTGTAGATTTCTGCCATGAGGCTGGAGGTGCTGTTTCATGTGTGTCATTGAGAGATTCCTATGAAAATAGAGAAAATAGGAATGCTGTGTGAGTATGGAACTCTGCAGTAAAGCAGGGATCTATAACGACATTTGGACATTTAAAGCACCTTTGCTGAGAAAGGTTGTGTCAGGCTTGTCCCGACTTGAGCATTTAGGAGAGAAAGACCCTCGACTCCATGATTGAAGTGAAAGTTCAGTTTTACTAAGTTCAAGTGGTTACATCATAAGCAAAACTGGATCTGAATATTCCCGCGCAAAGTCTGCATTTTTCCCTCTCCCCCGACCCTCCCTCCTTAACCAATGACATTTGAAGTAGATGTTTTGGGAACGCCTTTAAGGTTTGGCATCTCTTTGGTGGAGTTTCGCATTCCGTTCTCACAGCTCCATCCTTGATCAACGAGTCTGTTCCGGATTGACACCTCTGGATTCCATCACCCTATCATGCCCCCTCCTACCTCCCCAATCTCTCCCTCCTCACTGTATGGCAGGATGGCAGTGAAGATGGCAGACCTGACAGGCTGCCTTCCCTCCCTGAAATAAAGAGGCTTTGTCATTTTATATAAAGCCCATGATAGGCTGTTGCTATAAATAATGTGTATCAGGAAAAGTAAGAAATATTCCTTGCAAATGATTAAAGATCATTCATCACCAGGGACTAAAGGAGAGAAAGCATCTCTAGTGTGTCTCCAAGGTACTTTTCCAAAAAGCAAATGGACTTTGGTGTGTTATTTTTTCAGTTCATTTGTCTTTTGTAAAAGAACCTTTAGATCTCTTGTTGGAAAGCTTACTAAGGATTCCTTTATGCAGGTTCTTCTCCCTCTCAGCAGATCAGTCAGGATGTCCTCTGCAGTAAGACTTCCCCCTAGCAGCTCCCAGGTTATTATTTCCACCACAATTTGTTATAGGTAAAGTTCTTTCAGCAAAACACTCTGCAAATAATATGTTTTCTTGGCATTTCTCTGACTAGCAAGCCAGCCGCTAACCAGGGGCTTAAAGTACTGTGTATCAAGACAGCAGGATGGAACTGAGTTCAACTTCCTTCTCTGGTTATTGCTAAATCACAGTACTCAGAGGCGCAATATATTTATCAAGTCAGGTTCTTAATATTTTAATTTCTCTGGAGGCTTTTCATTCATCAGAAGCTGCTCTCGTTAACAAAATAATTAGAAAAGCCGCTATATTCTGAGCTCCTGTGGAGAGCTGGAGATTATGATGAGCTTGGAATTCTGCTTGAATGAGCAGCATTGATATTAGAGCTTCATTGTATGTGGGTATTAGAGGGCATTTAAAACTGCCCCTTTTGTACCCGCTAACATTGGTTCCCCCCATCAAGCTTCTTTGAAAATCAACCTCCTGGCCAAAATCCTGGATTTATTTGTTCAGACCGTCCATCATTTGCATGACATCTATTCTCAAAGTTCTAGATCTCTTACAATTGTAAAAACAGAAGGTAATAATTAGTTGAAGCCACACTTCAAATCCCATCGCTACTCTCTGCTGCTTTGGGATGCTCCTGAAGAAGACTACTATTTGTCCAGTGTTCCTAAGTGTTAACAAGAAGGTACTCATCTTAATTTTCTACAAATTCCCCATGGACAACTTCAGATGAATTCATTTGGGAGGTAAAGAGTAGAAAAGTGCACGATTGGGGTACAAGCAGAATTATGCTGAATACAAATATTTTGTGACTGATTGCCAGGAAAGCAGTGGAACAGCAGGAAAAAGATGGGAAGAGGACATGCGACTCAGGGGCTGCACCCATTCAACCAAAGCTCTACCCCTTATTTACATGTGTTATACTGATTACCAATTTTTGGGGACAGACCTTCACAGATGCTCCTACTGGGATCCCATGGAGTTCTCCTGGATCCTGCTTAATCCTCTCTTCTAGAGATCTCATGTATAGAACATGCAACCGGTCTTCTTTATGTGACTGTGTTTTTCAATAAACATTAATAAGTCTGTAATTTTTGAATATGTATTGCCAATAACTATCTGGGTCTACCTTAACAAATACTTTTTCAGCATCTTGTTTTCAATAATTGTAAGTAAAGTATTCACAAGCCTCCACAGACGTGACCTGAAGGCAACAGGTTTTTCTACCAAGATTTCTGTTCGCTGTTCCATAAAATGTCCCCAGGATCCTTTCAAAGTTATTTAGGCTAACTGGAATGAGGTTTTACCCTTTGTTAACCAGATAGCCTGCCTGTAGAAATAAAGTGTTTGCTTTCTTCTGCCTGTAGGATGAAGTCAATCAGATCATGGAGACAAATCTCTGGCTACGACATGTAAGCAAATTTGTGTGCATCAGTCTGTCAGTGTATGTGCGTGTTTATTGCCATGCTGGTTTTAGAGATGAGATCACAGTGGGTACTGGGATTCAGAAGAGATTTGGATAGGAAAAAAATCAGGTAGCTGTTTAGAGATATTCCAGGGCTCCGTGTATTTATAGCAAAAGCACATATATAGTACTTGAAAAATTCATACATTTCTCCTTCAATATATTAAAACCCTTGATTTAATGGACGAAAAAGAGAAATGGGTATTCCTTAAAGCAAAAGGCTTGATGAATAAGATGAGAACAGAAAAAAAAGGGAGGGCAGGAACTAAAGTCACAGCCAGGGAAAAAGAGGCAACACAAGCAATGGATGTTTGAGGGCCAGCACCATGATTAAAAGTATTCCAGTAACCATAAATGCAACCATAAATGAATTGTAGGCAAGAAACTCCCCAGAGATTGGTTATCAGATCTTGAGAGAATTTAGGTCAGAACCATCACCTTAACTTACAAACCCAATTCAGCAAACAGCAAGAATAGTTTTCAGAGGCAGCAAAGACATTCGTGAAGGAAACAAACCTTCTTATCCAAGAGACTTGATCTATCAACTCCTAAGTCTGCTAAACCAAAGTAAACCAAATGGTGTCTTCACTATATTTTTAGTGGACTATTACAAAAGAAGAAGAGGGGGAAAAAAAGAGAAGGGGAGTTATTAACTTGAAAATCATTCCCAATCTTATGAGTCCAAAAGAATGACTGAGGAAACTTAGGTATGCTTAATCGAACGAAGAGAAGGACTAGGGTTGATACGATAGCAGTCCTACTGTACTTGAGGATCTGTAACAGGGAAGAGGAAGTCCATTTATTTTCCAAAGCACCTGAAATCAGGACAAGAAGCGTGGAAGATCATTAAAGAGAAATCCAAGCTAGAACTAAGGAGCAATTTCTAGACAGTGAGAACAAATTAATCGGTGGAATGGGTTGCTTTCAGAGGTGGTGGGTCCAAACACTGGAGGTTTTTCAAGAAAAAATTGGACAGCCATTTGTCTAGAATGGTATTGGATCTCCTGCCATGAGCAGGAGGTTGGACTAAAAGACCTCCAAATCTCTTCCAACCCTATTGTTCTATGTCCTATTGTTCTTATAATCCAGGGGTAGAGAAATTGTAGCAATCCTGAGGGTGTTAAAACTTGTCTCTCAATATCCATTACCAAAGGTCATGATGACTGCGCCGTTGCAATACCTTGAGGGCAACTTCAGTAATATTCTTCATGTGAGAATCACTTTACGGGTGCAGTATATCATAGGACTGAATGCTTATTATTTTTCTCTTTAGATTTGGAATGATTATAAATTGAAATGGAATCCAGTGGAATTCGGTGGAATTGAATTTATCCACGTGCCATCGGACAAAATTTGGAAACCTGATATTGTGCTATACAATAAGTATGAACATTCATCACCATATTTAGCCCTATTAACATGTTCATTTTGAGCTAGAAGTGTACAACTTAAGATTCTCTTGTGCTTGCATTTGCAGTGCTGTCGGAGATTTCCAGGTTGAAGGACGGACCAAGGCTCTGCTCAGATACGATGGCACCATCACCTGGATGCCACCTGCCATTTTTAAAAGCTCCTGCCCCATGGATATTACCTTCTTCCCCTTTGATCACCAGAACTGCTCCTTAAAATTTGGATCATGGACATATGACAAAGCCAAGATAGATCTTTTGATTATTGGTTCCAAAGTAGACATGAAAGACCTTTGGGAGAACAATGAATGGGAAATAGTTGATGCTTCTGGCTATAAACATGACATAAAGTACAACTGCTGTGAGGAAATCTATACGGATATAACCTATTCTTTTTATATCCGAAGGCTCCCCATGTTTTACACCATCAATCTGATTTTACCTTGCCTGTTCATTTCATTCCTGACTGTATTAGTATTTTACCTTCCATCTGACTGTGGAGAGAAAGTAACTCTTTGCATCTCTGTCCTCCTTTCATTGACTGTTTTCTTGCTGGTAATCACAGAGACAATTCCCTCAACTTCTTTGGTCATCCCACTAGTGGGAGAATACTTGCTGTTCACCATGATATTTGTGACACTCTCTATTGTGGTGACAGTGTTTGTGCTGAATATCCATTACCGGACTCCAACTATGCATACAATGCCCAACTGGGTCAAAACTGTCTTCCTTGGTCTTCTGCCCAAGCTTCTGATGATGAAGAGACCCATACAGAAACATGTTGACTCCCAACCTCCCCAACCTCTGAAAGGAAGTGCCACTAAACCCGACAAGCCCAAGGCTGGGGAGCTTGCAGAAGTGAAAGTCCTCAGTGAGCACCGCTCCTGCCACTGTGACAACTCCAAGGACATAGCAGTGAGGAAGCAAAGGAGACAGAGTTGCCAATCTGCCAAATGGGAGGCTGAATCAGTCAAGTATTCCCCAGAGGTTAAAGAAGTCATTAACAGTGTTCAGTTCATCGCAGAAAACATGAGGTGTCAGAATGAAACGAAAGAGGTAAGAGCTCTGAAGAACAAGGTGGAATGGTTTCTATCTCCAAAGGCTTCAGTCATTTGGGGGCATTTCTCTAATTGCAGTAGAAAACTAAAACCATGTTGGTTGAAAATAACTGCACCTAAGAGCTAGAGAGTTGCAACGATGGAAGGCTATTTAAGCAGCATCAGAATTGTTAAGTCCTGCTAGAAATTGGGTGTCAAACTTGTTTGTGTCACATGATGTATCATGACGTATCATGACATTTTTTGCCTTTGCGGAGTCAGGGTTGGGCATGACCTACACAAAATGCATCCGGTCCAAAGGGCCACCAGTTTGATAACCCTGTGCTAGAAGAAATTGGTTAGAACATTCTGCTCTGGTTTTCAGTTTCCTCTAGCAACAGAAAGAACTACAGACAGGACAACAGGGACCTCATGCTAGCTGTGCCTCAATTACCAGAGGCACAATTTCAGGGATTGCCAACATGTTTTATAGGCATGAAATGAAATTAAGCCCCTCCCCCCCAAATTAAGGCCTATATTAAAACATGTGAAATGCGGGGGAATGGTGGGGGGGCTTGCTGTTACGAAGTACTTTTGTTGCACACCCGGATATTGTGCTGCCTGCGTTGACCCCAATACGAAGTGCCTCACCAACACCAAGGTCAACATCCAAGCCGTCACCGCCCGCTCGAAGATGCAAGGGGGGGGGAATTAAGTCACCCCCGAAAAGACAGCCTAGCCATTTTTTCGGGGCTCAAAAAAAAATAAGACCCAGCCTTATTATATGAGAAACACGGTATCTCTTGCATTGCTTAGCACTGATCATCTAACCATTGGTGGCAGAGTAAATTCAACTGTAGAAAAGGGAGACCGACTGATTCTACATTCCAGTTGTATGAAGGGGGTTTAAAACCATAGCTGTGATCTAACTATGCAGACTGACATAGGATAGTGCTAGCCTAATACAATTAACACAAGGAAAAGGAAAACTAACTGCATATAGAGCAGGGGTCTCTAACCTTGGCAACTTTAAGACTTGTGGACTTCAACTCCCAGAGTTGAACAGAGAGGTTGGAGAGCCCTGATATAGAGCACCCAGGGAAGAATTTGAGAGCCCCTTTGCAAAATATTGAGTGCTTGTATCTCCTTGCCAGGCTATTCACTGCCTACTTACTCCATACTTGTCTTTCTGGGATGCCAAAGCATAATAAAGGCTCTGTGAAGGTTTTTGCTCCTTCTTCCTTTCATTGTTCATTCCCTTCAAGGAGACAGATAAACAGGCAATAATGCAAGAAGGAGAAAGAAGGAGTAGTTGGTTCCAGAGTTGGCATTAGCCTCTACTGAGTTGTAAGAAAAGAGTCAGACAGGAAGTCCTTCCTGGCCCAAAACCAAGGGTCACCTGGTAGAACAGTGGTTTGTTTGGCACTCATCATGTTTGGTACTCATCACACCTCCTGGAACCAATTAACTCTGAGAGTTGAGGTACTACTGTATATCCTTTGCTGGGCCTTTTACTATACTTTTGACACTATGTTCACATTAGCTGCAAAAGGGTACGATGGCTTTTAAAGTGAACTTCAGTGGTTGTGCTAATGGCTTTGGTTACTTAAACGTATAAATATTTCATGTTGGGAGGCTCTCTGACTTTGGCAATAAGGCTCTAAATAGACATGTAGAAGCTCTAAGGCAGGCCCTGATCCCAAGATGGCATTTGATCAATGAAGTTCTATTGAATTCTACGGGCTGTGCTGATATGCAGAAACATAGAAGATATTTTGAAAAATAGCCAAGCACGTATACAGAATCCAAGCTGCAGTGTTATAGCTAAGCCTGGGTTAACTGTGGCAATCGGAGGTTCAGAGAATAGGCTCCAGCAAATATAAATCTTGGTGGAAAACTTCTTTGTGCAGAAAGGAAAGCATCTGTCCTCAGCTCTCTAAAAGAAGAGATGTTTGACTGTACTATATTTTTATTGAATAAAAGGTCAGAGGCATGATAGGAACTAAGAAGGATTTTCTCCATTTTAGTTTTGGAAAGGAATACGATTTGGACTTGCTAGTTGAATTTGGACATCAAAATATATCTCACTTTTATGGTTCTCCAATATTTTTGTCAAGATCTATCACCAACAAAAATAACTGGTGTGTGTGTGTGTGTGTGTGTGTAATGATTTATGTACCAGAGAGACAATTGTAATAGGAGTTATATACTATAACACCTAAAGGATGTACAGTCTTGTTTAGAACTCTTAACTATACTCACATGCAGAGAAGCAGGAACTGTTGATCTTTTTGTTGTTGTTGAATTACAGTACCAAACAGATCTTGTCACAACATGATCCAAAATGAGAGATAGTGGGACTGGTAGCTAGCAATTAGGGAAGACACTGTACTTCTTATCAAGAAAACATTTGTAGGTAGAAATAACATAATACTTATGTAAAAGAAATTAAATGTTCTGTAATTTATTGAGAAATTGGAACAACGTGGATTGCATCCAATATGACAGCAGAAAGTGTGCCAAGTTCTTCTTTACAAATAATACTAAAATATTATAATAATTATATAACAAATATATATGATGATTCTATCTTGTGACCTGTGGTTACACCAACAAATGTTCTATATATGAATCTATATGGAGATTCTAAATGTATCTTGTTTGGAGGTGGGGAAGGAATTGAGAAATCTCAGAAAGCACAGAGTCATTTTAATAGTGTCAATTAAATATTATGAATTCAATTGAATATATATGTATTTTCTTATGTGTTGCAGGTAGAAGATGACTGGAAATATGTCGCCATGGTAATCGATAGAGTATTTCTGTGGGTGTTCATAATTCTCTGTGTATTTGGAACAGCGGGATTATTTCTACAACCATTGATAGCAGATGTATAATATATGGGTGGTGATTCACGTTTTGCATGATCTTTTTTAATAGGATAGTCAAACCACACATTAGCAACAGTTTAGAGAATATCAGTTTTCATCCCAAGCCATAAGAAAAGTATTCTCATCACTTTACAATGTATTAAGCCGGCCTTTCAGATGGGTAGACTAACTCCCATTATCCACAGCCAGCAAAACCTATGGAGTTCCACCTCAACCTTTTTGGAGGATAGTAGATTGGAGAAATCTATGTTACTATAGTGGCTTTCAAATGTCCCTCGGATAATCCTTTCCATAATCATTTTTCTGCTAAGAATTTCTTGGTTACAGTGTCTGCTATTATGCGTATCTCTAAGATCAACAGAAGATTAATAGTCATACTGGCTCAGATTCCTAGTCCATTGTGTAGAATAGGGTTTTTTTTGCTTCATTTATAGAAGGAATAAAATAGGCCAAAATGAATCAGAAGAGAATCATCAGTTCAAACTCTCACAACCATTTGTCAACATTCCTAAACCTTTTGTAAAGAAAAATCCTTTATACATAAGCCATTAGTTTTGCAAGTAATAAATGAATAGATTGCTGAGTGGTGAGGTAGCTGAGAGGCGAAGATGCTCGGCTCCCACTCAGAAGGTCGAGAGTTAATCCTAGGCAATGACAGATGTTTCTCTATCAGAGCGCAAAGAGAAAATAGCTGCTGTGAACTCTGCATAGGCATCAGGAAGGGCATCCGGCCTGTAAATGCTCAGCTCTACTCAGTCTCCCTGACCCTACCCAAAACAAGGGATTACAGGGTAATAAAAAGAGGAAAAAATGAATAGATTGCTGATCCGACTACTGAAGTAATCCATATTAACTGTTTACTTCTGTAAGGTTATCTATCAACTAAAATCACCCTATTTTCTTCAGCGAGATAAACTCCAAATATGCTTGATTGTTAACCCATCATCTCTAATTTTAATGCTGATAGGGGGAGATGAAATTTAAACACTGCTGGAAGGCATCAAGTTGATGATTGCACTCTGAAAGGCAACAGAGAAGGAGAGTAACCAGAGGTTTCTCTGATAGTGTATGATGACCACTCATAGAATAACTCCTAACCAGCAACAGAAAGTTCACTAAACATTATTTGCTATATTTCACATGAATTAAATATTTCTGTTGGAAGCATAGCTGTGCTGCTATTTTGTTTTTGGTAAACCATGTGTAAAAGACATTTAAATATAATTCTTTGGATACCTATTTGAGACTGTCCAAGCTATTGTAACAAAAAAAATGGGATGGTTTATCCCTTTTCTGAAAGAAACAGGAAATCATAGTACTGTAGGGTGTTTTTTCCTAATTGTCATCCTTTCTTTGAATCCTGCCATACCATAAATCTGTTTGATTTACAAATGATTCCAAATACATTGTAAACCCAGCTGATTTTTCTCTTGTTCTTCCTCACCATTTAGAAGAGGACACCACACAGAATGAGTACCCAGGTAGAATAGGATAGACTAGACTAGTCTAGACTAGACTAGACTAGACTAGACTAGACTAGACTAGAATAGAATAGAATAGAATAGAATAGAATAGAATAGAATAGAATAGAATAGAATAGAATAGAATTCTTTATTGGCCAAGTGTGATTGGACACACAAAGAATTTGTCTTGGTGCACATGCTCTCATTGTACATAAAAGAAAAAATACATTCATCAAGATTCAAGAATCATAAGGTGCAACACTGATAGTCATAGGGTACAAAGGTAGTCCTGTATACTCACCACAAGTGACACAGTTCTTAAGTGAGCTTTGCTCATTATACAACTTTTCTTGCCACGGCTTTTAAGTGAATTACTGCCAATGTTGTTAGCAACACATTTGTTAAGCAAATCTGCTTTCTTCATTGACTTTGTTGGTCAGAAGGTTACAAAAGGAGATCCCATGACCCCGGGACACTGCAATTGTCATAACAATGAGGCCAAGTTTCCGAATTTTGATCAGGTGAGCACAGAGATGCTGCAATGGTCCTAAGTGCGAAAAAATGGCTATAAGCCATTCTTTTCAGTGCTGTTGTAACTTTGAATGGTCACTAAATGAATAGTTGTAAGTTGAGGACCACGTCTATTTGTTTTTCCTGAACAACAGTGTTTTCCCAACCTAGTGTCCTCAAGACATGCTAAGCCTAGAATTCTCCCTGTGGCTTTTGATAGTTGCACAGTGTTGAGTGTTGTAGCCCCAAAATATCTGGAGCAATATTTCTCGACCTGAACAATTTTAAGATATGTTGACTTCAACTCCCAGAAAAGTTACCCAGGTTGATCTGAAGACACTGTGATGGGAAAAATGGATTTCAAAATCTGGTGGCCTCCAGATTCTAAATGATTCCATCATTTCACAGGCTGTTTCAGAGGTGGAATTCTGCAGGTTCTGACCAGTTCTGGAGAACAGGTAGTGGAAATTTTGAGTAGTTTGGAGAACCGGCAAATACCACCTCTGACTGGAGATTTTATAGTATCCTTTCCTTGCCATGCCCACCAAGCCACGCCCATAGAACCGGTAGTAAAAAAAATTGAATCCCACAACTGGGCTGTTTGGTTAAGTTAAATTTACTACAGTATAGTGGGATGAAATAAATTTCAAAAATACGTAGTACCATTACCATTCTTGCATCCCAACAGCCACCATCATGTTCCTTCAATTTTATTCAATTTTATTCATCATCTTAAGCCATTATGTTACACTCTATTCTAGCTGGAGGATGTTAAGGGATTAGTAAACTCATGGTAGGTAGATCCAATAAAAATAGCTGGTCCTGTGGCTCTTTTAGGTGATTAATGTGAAGTGTAGGTAACGGGTATAAATAAGAACAAATATTTTGGATGGCATTCTCTCTTCTGTTTATTTTATGATTTTAGATGTATTTTGGAAATGCCCTTATGAAATATGCAAAGAATGCCCTGAGTGTTTAATTTTACTTATATACAAAATTCTCAGCCCTACCCTGAGATGTCCAAAATCCCCTAAAATGTTATGGACACAAGAGTACTTAGCAATAGGGCTGATTATTTGGCTCCATGTATTTTTAAAAAGCATTTATATAATTTATATGGCCTCCCATTTCACAATGACTGACTCTCAGCAGGTCACCTAGATTAAAAACCCAATAGTTAAAAATATCTGTCCACAAAGCCCAAGGCAAATGATACATTTCAATCATAAAATCACATCAACAGAACTTGACTGACTTCCTGGCCTGAAAACTAGCCTGAAAAGGATGTTTTGGTTTTACTTTTGATTGAAAACGACATTGATCAGAAAGTTTGGATGGTACTGAAATAAGAAGTCTACTCTATAGCCAGGATTCCAAAACCTTATGGAGGCTAAAAGGACCAGAACCTTCTGCATTTCCACAGGGATGCTGTTCTACAAAGCAAACACTGCCAGAGAAGGCATGATTCCATGCATCCAACAAGTTAACACCGTTTAATGGAAGGGACCCAGAGCCACGTCCACCTTGATAAATCTGGTGAGGAAAGCCGAAACAGTGGGAGAACAGGGGATTTCATCATCACTTTACACTCTTTTATTGGATTGTTTGGAATGTGTTTGTATATTTTACAATGTAATACACTTTTAGAAATGTGAAGTTCATAAAAAAAATAAATTTTAAAGATAGCGTGACTAGTATTCCTTGTTTATTTATTACATTTATTTGCTGCCCATCTCTTTTTGAAGCAACTCTGGGTGGATATTTACAGTACAACAGTCGTGTCCAGTGGTGGAATTCAAAATTTTGTACTACCGGCTCTGTGGGCATGGCTTGGTTGGTGTGGCGTGGTGTGGCTTGGTGGGCATGGCAGGGAAGGATACTATAAAATCTCCATTCCCTCCCCACTCCTGGAGGAAAGTTACTGCAAAATCCCCATTCCCTCCCCACCCCACTAACCTGCTTTTCAGCTCCATTTTCCTGTGCAGGGCAACAAAAGAAGACCCATCCAATCAGCTGGGATTCGGGAGGCAGAGAATAGATGGGGGCAGAGCCAGTCAGAGATGGTATTTGCAGTTCTCCGAACTACTCAGAATTTCCGCTACCAGTTCTCCAGAACTGGTCAGAACCTGCTGAATACCACCTCCGGTTGTGTCTGTTTTACACAACAAAGTGGATGCCCAATGAGCAGAAGCACTGATGTACACAAATGCTATTGTCTATTGCAGGGGAAACACAATCCTTGAGCGTGTCTGCTACTAGGTTCCATTTTTGGAGGAGGAGATTGAAGACTTCAAGGAAAAGCTTGAATGTCATTTAAGTCTGTCTTTTTCAACCTTAGCTATTTTAAGATGCATAGATTTGAAATTCAGAATTCCCCAACTAGTACAACAAAATCACACTCTCGTAGTCTGACCATATATTGGATAACAAGCCAATATTTTACAGATCCAACAAGTACAGCCATGTAACATTGGAGTATATAGTTAGAATGGGTGACAGTTTTCCAGTCACTTTTCTTCTTTTTTTCTTTTTTCTTTTTAAAAGTCCTCCAATAGTTAAGAACTTGGTGTATCATTTGGCATTTTCTGTGAAAACTCTAGACAACTTATTACTAAATTTTAAAAATGATATCAGGCTGTTAAGAGTCAATTTATAGTCACATTATTTCTTCCTCAACTCCTAGGAATAATACAGTGGTTTGATGTATGGACAAGAATTGTCTTACTTGCAGAAATGTGATAACTGACTCTTTTGTCCAGAAGCATTCTATTTTTGGGAAACATTGAAGAACAAATTTAATGGTGAAAATGTACTGATAATTTCCACTTCCCTAAAGTAAGACTATATACTATGAACAGTAGTTACTTTGACTGCTTCACTGAAGACAGTGTGATGGCTAACTTATTTACTGCCATTGGGGAAGTATGGAAATATGGCCCTCCAAATCTTGCTGAGCTGCACCTTTCCATCTACTGTGACTGATGTTGAGGGACACTGGCATAATTCAGAAACATCTGGAAGGCTACAGGTCCCACCCCATCACCTACAAATTGTCATCCTATCACTAGTCATAATGCAGATTCACTATATTATCTTGAAAGAAGCATTAGATAATAACAA